TAAAGGTCTAATGTTCTCTCTTTGAATCCAAGTAAAAATAAAAAGTAAAGCACTAAATATTCTAACAATTAACATTGCAGTGGAGTAAAAAAGACTACAACTAAGTAGTTTAAAAATAATCAAATAAATGAATAAAAGTAGCTATTTATGGACTGATAATGAAAGTATTGGTGAAGTATCAAGGATTGTGATTAATTCTACACTTTGTGTGTCTGTGTGTGTGCACACTTGCATGTGTAGGAGGGAGAGAGAGAGAGAGAGAATCTCTAAGTATTTATTTGAAACACACTTGCTAAAAGTGTGTGTCATTTTTGTGAAAAGCAGTAGAGCAGAGTGGTTAAGAGATCCAATTTTTGGAGCCAGCCTCTCTGGGTTTGAATCTCAGCTCTAATAATCAACAGCTTCGTGAAACTGCACAAGTTACTTTACTTCATGATGCCCCAGTTTCTGTATCCGTAAGTTAGGAGAGCAGCAGTACTTGCCTCGCAAGTTATGTGTAGGAGCTCAGAGTCCAGCACACAGTAAGGACAATATAAGAATATAAGCTTGATATTCTTATATGCTTTTAGAAGAAATATAAGGGAAGACGGCTATCTTTTTAGCTTTCTGTATAGTTAAGATTCTGAGGTTACCACTGGACTTAATTTTATTAATTGCACAATGAAGTCAATCTGAAAAATTCCGTTTTCTTCATTCTTAAATGCCTTTAATGAGACAACATATGACTAATTTTTTTTAAATGAAGAAGTTACAAGGACGACATAAAATATCTGATGACAAACAGTGTCAGGTAGAGAATTCATTACAAGCCTTATTCACCACACAAACACACACATCTGACGACAAAGAATAAAAAAGACTGACTTTAACTTCTGTGGCCAATTTATCTAGTTTTTGTGCAGAAAGGACACAAAAGGAAGCAAAACTCTTCTAGCAATTTCTACAGTTAGATAAATTGTAGCATTTACTGGTTCCTTGAAGTAATTCCTATGTGTGTTTGCTCACATACAATTGTACAAGTGAGTGTATCACTATACCCCATGTCTCCTAAGCTGAATCCAGTGCTTGTCCAGGTGCAGACCCATCCACTCAGTGTATGTACTTGTAGCATAGCAGTCATGCACTAATAAGCAATGCTATAATGAGCAAATGTACAATACCTCATGTGATTGTTCCAAAGTGCCAATGAAATATGTAAACATATGAGACATTTGGCATGTAGCAGATAATAAATGTAGTTACTGTATCACTATATAGTTTTTACTCTACATACTAACATTTATTGCATATTAAAGTATCATATTTTAGAAGTTGTGTTACAGAAATGTAATCATCTGAAAAGTAATATTGAATTATTAAAAAATTGCCCAGCATACTGTCTTTTTCATTGAAAATAATCACAATAGTAATAAATGATTTAGTTTAATCAATGTCCCTGGATGCTGATATATCAAACATACTGACCAAAATGTACTAAACTGGTTAAATTTGATGATCTTTATAATTTTTAAAATCAGTTAATGAAAAGGGAAGATCTCCTTTTTCTTATAGCTGTAAAAAACGGAACATATGCAAATATTTTCTGAATTTAGCAAGAGGCTTTGGGTGATAAATTAATGTGGCACATGTGTATAAAGAGATGAACTGGCACACTGATGCCAGGTCCTTCTTCTTTCCTGGCTTGCCCTTTATCCATATGTCCAGGGAATCAGGATGCAGGGGGTCATTATCAAAAAACTCCACAGAAAGGAAAAATTTAAACTTCCAACATCTATACTGCATAGCAAACAAAGGAAAAATAATGCTCAATGCTTAAAATTACTTCTTAGCAGTTCACTGCACTAGAGTACATTTTCTGAGAATTAAAATCTCTGTTAGGTAAAGTACCACAGGGCTAATAAGAAATGGAACAGTTGGTGTGATTTATTAATTTTTTTTAATTACTATTATGTTCATGCATTATTTTTTACAGGCACATAAACACCATGGAATACTATGCAGCCATAAAAAACAATGAGCTTGTGTCCTTTGTAGGGACATGGATGAATCTGGAAACCATCATTCTCAGCAAACTGACACAAGAACAGAAAACCAAACACCTCATGTTCTCATTCACAGGCAGGTGTTGAACAATGAGAACACATGGGCACAGGGAGGGGAACGTCACACACTGGGGTAGGTTGGCAGGGGAGGCTAGGGGAGGGACAGCAAGGGGGCGGGGAGGCTGGGGAGGGAAAACACTGGGAGAAATGCCTGATGTGGGCGATGGAGGGACGGAGACTGCAACCCACCGTGGCATGTGTGTACCTATGCAAGGACTCTGTGGGATGTGCACATGTACCCCGGAGCTTAAAGTACAATTTAAAAAATATCCAGAAAATCAATTCTGAAAACCAAGAACATCTTTAGTAATGAAAAAGCCAATTAACCATAACTAATAAATAATCAATAATCCTTTTCTCAACTATCTGAGTAATGTTAAGGATTCATTAAATGTTTCTGCTGGTCTTTCACCATGAAACCCTGGATCCCCTTTGATCCTATTGTGCTTTTCGATCCACACAGCAAAATTAAAAGCGGTGGTGTATTTCTTCCCTTAGAAGGGTCTCTTCTATTTGTTCCTTCTTATTCGCCTTGCCCAATTCTAGACCAGGCCTTCATTATCTCATGCCTACAGGTTTGATCTAGTCTTTGGCAATTAGACTCCATCCTTCACATTAAAACTAGATTAGCCTTCCCTTAATGACACCTTCATCATTTTACTTCTGGGCTCCAGGATGGACAATAGGATTTGTAAGCTACTTGTGGCCTAAAGTATAAGTTACAAACTTCAAATTTTATTTCATATTATCTTAATGTCTTCATTGTTTTTCAATACATTCTGCCCTCTTTTACTTCTATTCTGTAGCATTTATTATTTATTCCAGAATTATCTATTTTTTCCTTCCAGCCTAACTATTCTTTACTAATCCATCAATGTCAAGTTCCAGGCTAACCTTCTCTGGTGAGCTTTCACTCATTTTCCTTTGTTTAACTATTCTGTATGCTGTTCAATTATTTCAATACCTTAACTACACAATTTAAAATGATATAAACAATACTGATATTATATACATATATGCCAGCACACATTTATAGAAATGTCTGCATTGCCCTTTGTTTTTCATGCATGGGTCTTGTATTTCCAACTAGATGCCAAGTGCTTTACACATAGATTCCCTATGGTATAATTGATTTTTGTAGTTTGTTCCTTTTAGCATTTGCTCATCAATAAACATATTTTGATTGCTTAGTATTTTGCTTCCCAGTTAATGCATATGTATTTCACTTTCAGCTCACTACAACCTCCATCTCCCAGGCTCAAGTGATTCTAACGCCTCAACTTTCCAAGTAGATGGGATTATAGGCATGCACCACCACACCTGGATGATTTTTGTGTTTTTAGTAGAGATGGGGTTTTGCCATGTTGGCCAGGCTGGTCTCAAACTCCTGGCCTCAAGTGATCCACCTGCCTCGACCTCCCAAAGTGCTTGGATTATAGGCATGAATCATAATTCTTTACTCCCTCCTTCTCCTGATGTGGAGCACATTTACCCACTCCATTGATTTTGGTCTTGGCCATAAGACTTGCTTTGGTTTGTGGTCTGTGGGCAGATGGAACATATGCCACATTCAAGCAAAGAAGCACAGGAGCCACTGCAGGTTTCTGACAGCCTCTTTTGCAACTGCTCTTTGGAATGAGAACAGCATGTCTCGGATAGGGCTGCTTCTTCAGCCTGGGCCTTGGAATGAGAAGTTTGCATAGAGCAGGCCTGCAGCTGACCCGCGGCTTGCAGCGGAACACAGCCAAATTACAGCCTTGTTTCATGAATGAGAAGTAACTTTTCTTCATCTCTTATACTTTGGAGTTGTTTGCTACACGGAAAAGCTGACTAATACAGGATCTTAGAATTAATCTGACTTCATTTTGCGTGTCATGAAAGAGAGTTAGATTTTTATAGTTAGCTAATAGAGGAGTTAGGACATAAATTGTGAACAACTGATTTTTAGTTCTTTAAAAAGAACATACACACAAAATGCCTTTGGCTTTTTTGTTATCCTAAAATTTGGAGAAATATAACTCAAATAGTTTGAAATTTACAGCCTTCAAACCGTCTGAAACTGCCCTCTTGGACTGTCATTAGCTTCTAGAAAATGGGTAGAAGAAAATCTAGAAAATGAATACAATGTACTTTCAGTATAAAATGTAATATACTTCTATGTGGAAGATATTAATCTGTTTCAGATCCTGGCTTGTTTGGTAGAAGACAGAAGGAAATGCAGTAATGTTTGTGCATTCTTTTCAGGCCCATGTCTTTCGTATGCTTTGTTACTCTAAAACATACATTTAAAAATCTTCCATTGTAAACAATCCCTTTATGATAGTACATTCTTATTTGAAAATGGATATCATGTCTTAATAAGCTATCTCCTTGATTTCCATGACAAAATCTCATGTATACTTTGATGCTAAATGGGGAACTGCAAAATCTTAACCATTTACTTTGCAAAATTCATGTGGAAGCATCCCTATCATTATGTGCTTCAGTCCATCAGAGCTTATCTTGGTCCTGAAGTTTATGTTATGCTTTTGTATTCTTAGAATGAATTCATTTTCTTAACTCTGTAAAATTTGTTACTAAAAGTTCAGACTAGACTGCTAGTTTAATTCTTATAGAAATTACTAACGCATCTGCTTTCTTTTCCATATCAAATTTTTGAGAGTAAAATCAGTCTATGTAGCATTATTTTACCCCCTACTTATGGGAAAAATAATACTTCATGGTTTAGGTAATGGGGGTCTCATTGAACAACCACTTACAACTACCTTTTTGCTGTTGTTGTTTATTGTGCTTCTCCTAACAAAGGAAACAAAATGTAATAAACCAGATTGGGTAACCAAATTGATATTCTTTGTTAAATTTCTTCTCTCCCCTTATTTGGTCTTACACAAATCTTACCTTTGTGAAAAAACATCTCGGTAAGGACTGCCATGTTGTAATGCAATTCCATATCCCCGATCAGCAACAGTATTTCCAATGGTGTAAAAGGAACAATCTGGGTCATTGATAGCCACATATTCCAATACGGCTGCATCCCATACAAAAGCATAGTTTCCATATTTTACCTGTAAAAACATGAAGAACAAAAGAAGAAATAGGGTTTAAAGATGGAATTTTAATTTACATACACAGGACAAAAAACATTACAGTGATATGTATTTAATTGTGCTACAAATAATAGAACACATTATCGTCCTTCAGTATGTGTGGGGGTATTGATCTCAGAGCCCCTGTGGATACCAAAATCCAGGGATACTCAAGTCTTTATATAAAATGGCATAATATTTGCTTATAATCTCTACACATCCTCCAATATACTTAAATCATGTCTGGATTACTTATGATACCTAATACAATATACATGTGATATAAACAGTTGTTGTACTGTATTGTTTTAATTTGTATTTTTGTTGTATTATTATTTTCTATTGTGTTTTAAAAATATTTTCAGTTGATGGCTGGTTGAATCTGCACATGCAGAACCTGTGGATATGGAGGGCTGAGTATATTTCTAAGTAAACTTTTGTTCTGAATGAGAATTTGTACGTTGGTTAATTTATAGCTATATCCTGAAAACATGGGAAAGGTGGAATGTTTACTATGCTTTTAGGCCATGTTACTTGTAGTGAAATGACCCCTGAGTGGAAAATATTATTTGCATTGAGAGAACAAAAAAATGCATGAAAGGAAGGCATGTCTTTGAGCTTCTATCAGTTCAGTGATTCTGGTGAATGGGGCTGTCCCTTTTGGGGACCCTGAAAGCTATGCCTTTGGAATTAATACAAGGGTTACTGATGACTTGGTGTACTAGGCTTCTAAGCCAGATGGGTTTCTGCACTCATTCAATATAGGTATCATCCCTATTCTAAATGAAAGCTGCAACTACAACTCACATTGAAGAAAAATGACCAGTATTGTCCTGCTGATGAGCTTTATCTCCTGTCCTATGTCCTTCTAAATTAATCTATTGTCACGTGTGGCCTATGGGCATCTTGCAGATGAACTTAGAAGAAAACTCCCGAGTGGGCTTTGCAATGAGGAAAATAAAATAATTTCACAACCTCCTCTGTCATCATTTAAACAACATAAATTTACTCTAGGTCACTTATGATGTCTTTAGTGATTTTTTTATTCCCTCAGCAATTACTTATATACTAAGTCACAAATTTACCCAAAAAACCCTGATCCAGTATTATAAACATCTCAACAAAGTATATTTTCAGCTTTATTACATATCAAAATGGACTTCGCAAATTCATAAAATAAATAGAATTAACAGTTAAAATCCAAGGTTACTTTGTTTATATTAAAAGAATAACATTATTAAACAAGGAAAAGCAACACTGGCTCAGTATTAGACATATTGTTGGGATGAAAATATATCTTACAAATGAGGCTATACAATTTTTAAATGATCTTTTGGTAGACACAAAAAAGATAATTGGCAAAATTAAAAACAGTTATCTACCTATTATCTATCTATTGGTAAACAAGAAAGAAAAAAATTCATAATGAGATACAGAATACTTCAAATAACAGCAAACCTATTACAAGCTGAAACTCTAGTGGCATTACCATTAAAGTAAAGAAAATGATGCTTACTATTAACCAAAATTAACATTATTGTAACAACTTTATCCTATGTAATAAAAATGGAAACAAACATATGATTTGAATCTATTAGGAAAAAATAATCATCCAGTAGAGACAAAATTATCTTTATTTGATAACATATTTAAGAAGCCCAAAAGACTCAACTGAAAAACTATTTTAAAAATTCAGATTCCAAAAAATACATTATAAATGGATATAAATACTAATGATTTGCTTTTCTATTAATACATGAGATAAGTAGTTTGAGCTAAAATATCTATGTACACTAAATATAAATATAGAGAGATAAATTTAACAATAAATTTGTAGGATCTATACAAAGAACACCATTAACACCTGACTGAAGATGACTTGAACAAGCTTCTGGATAGACATAACAAATTCCTAACAGTGCAGATGCATACTTATAAAAGACATTTAAATTTTTCTTAGATTATCCAATACAAAATGCAATTCTAAATAAAATGCCTAAAGGTTATTTTAGAACATATTAAGATCTTTGCAAATTTAATTAGGAGAAAACAGATAAGAATAGTAAAGAAATTTTGAAAATAAAAAAAATAATTATTGGAGACGTAGAATACCAAATAATGAAACATGTTATAAAGCTTAAAAATAAAACAGCACAAAATGTATTTAAGAATAGAAAATCAGTGGAACAGAATAAAAGTCTACTGTTTTTAAAAGTATCCCAGCACTTAAAGTATAATAATAATAAAAAAGAATTCTCTGCCATCATAAAACTTTTACGTCTCTTAAAAAAGAAGACTGTATTAGAAAGTCCATAAATCAAATCAGTGTGGCAAATATGAAATATTCAAAAAAATGTGACTGAGACAGGTGATTATTGCAAAAATGTCAATATTAGAGAACTGTGTCACACCACACAAAATAAATTCCTATAGTGTAATAAATTAAATATAATTTAAAAAATCAAGTTTTAAGAAAAGCAAAACTAGAAGAACATGTGAGACTTTTTGTTTGGTACTAGAAAAGGAATGGAATATCTAAACATAAAAGTAAAGGAAGCAAATATAAAAGAAATATTTGATACATTTAATTGTTGCCTTTTTAATATATGTGCTTAGATCCCACCAACATTAGATACTCAATAAAAAGTTTTGTATGAAACAATGAACTGCCTAAAACCTTCAGTCCAGTTAACTGTGCTCAGTGGATACTTATTGTTTTTCCTTGAGGAGAACCCCAACCAAACCATGAGGTATTGAAAGAGATAACATTTCTTTCCCTAAATAAAGCATTTCATGAGTGTCTGTGGTACTCTAGAACCTAGTGATTAGCTACTATCAGTATTTCTCACAATGTGATGCTAAGACCACCATCATTAGAATTACTAGGGGATTTTTGTGTTAGAAATGTAGATTCTAGATCCAAACCCAAGCTTGCTGCATGATGATGTTCGGTATTTAAGGCCTGAGAGTATGCATTTTAAGAATCCTGACAGCTTATGTATGCCACTTTTTTTTTTATTACTAATGATGCTCGTGATAAAAAATGAGTAATATCATCAGAAACAATTTTAGATCCGTGGGGCTTGATATAATTATAAAACTAAGAGATGCTTGGAGTGTTGGTGTGGGAGAAGGAAAAACGCTTGGTTAGGTTTCCTCTACATTGATGTCTCACCCACAGAGTTATCCCATTGTTTCCTTCCTTTCTCTGGTCCTTTGCAACCAGCTTGCAGATCTGCTTTTAACTCCCTAGGTTTAACTTTACAGTGATTGGGAGTAGCAGTGACCTTGAAGCTTCCTGTAACAACCTCCTTTGATTTTTTGTTATTATCTTCTGTTTTAAACAGTTAGTCTGGCCTCCTGGATCCCCTAGCAGCTTCTTTACAAACCTCAAGGGACCGCCCCAGTAGGGGACATATTGCTTTACTGTTAGAAAAGTTTATCTAGCATTGTTTTTCAGTGTTTTGTGAACTGTAGAGCTCTGCTTAAATGTATAGTAACATTATCTTTGCCATTATAATTTTTTTTTTCAATTCCAATGTTCCAAAGCATTATGAATAGATTTTTTATAAAGAGGATCATTAAAACAGTGTGATTATAGCCTGTAGCAATGGCAATGAAATGTTGCATAGTAACCCAAATTATTTCAGCTTTTAAAAATGTCCCTGGCCTTTTTCATCAATTAAAACATATAATCACTGTCTTTTGAATAGTTTTTAACCATCAAATTAAAACTCTATGAAATACTCATCAACAAAGTCTAAAGTCACTTTTCAACAGAATAATAATTGAGGGACTGGCCTAAAAAGTTTTCAATCCGTCTAACTAGGTAATGGAACTTTCTTAAAATTTTTCAACTAGCCCTGTTCTTGAGGTCATGTTTAGATAGGCAACTGAATTACAAGCCATTGATTTATTTACTAATGGATTCCACACCAGCAGAGTCCTTCATACGAGGTTAAACAGAAGGAAGCAAAAGTGAATCTGGGAGCTTCATGTCAGCATATTCAAGGTCTCATTAAGAGGAAGGAAAACAATCCAAAGTGACATCTACCTCTAGTATTATCAACCTCCAGACCCTAAAGTAGAGATGCTAGGATGCTATGATTACTGATTGACATTGGTAACTATTGAGGTTCAGCACCTGTGTCCTCAGTGCCTCAGATACCAATAGCCTGTGACAAATATATCACTTCCCAGATAACACTAGTTTTGTTCCCATTTCTATTTCTATGACAGTTCTTTAAATTCAATTTTACTAACAATCATTATGCATTAAGTCTAAAATCCTGAAGGTTAAGTCTATAAGGAATACAAAGATAAGGCCCCGTCATCAAGCTGCTTACAACTCAGTAGTGGCGATAAGTCAAGCACTAAATTGTTGTAACATGAATCATATTACTGTAAGGATCATAAGAACAACTTTTGTTCACAGTGGTTTAAAGAAAAGGAAAATTAATTTTTATTGGAAGGAATCAGGACAAGTCTCAAATATTCTGGTAACTGAAACAGCTGTATAGGAAAGCCTCAAATATCTAAGTTCCTTATCAATAATACCTAACCAGTTAAAAACATAGATATGCTTTTGAGACCATTTCTCATTTATTCACACTCTTCTACAAGTTTTTGAAATTTTCCATTTGTCAAGTAAAGAACTGTAAACATTCAATGTTATTTTCTCAAATATTTGCATTTCTTGCCAAGTAAAGTGAAGGATGGGAAAGTGTATTTTCAAAACCTGCAGCAGTGTTCTGCAACATGTTAGGGATTATGGCACATTTCTATTTGTTTATAGATTACTTTTGTCCTGTATGCTCCTGTTCTGACATCTCCATCATAAGCTGATGCTGAAAGCACTTTGTTTTTTAATTCATTACGTAGCAACCTCCTGTACTAACTACAGAAGCCCATGCCATAAACAAACAAACTATGAATACCTGTTATCCCACCAACCTTGATTTGAAGTGGGAGGACAATGT